AAGTGCTAAATAAATATGATTAAAAACGTAAACACACTCAATTGAATAAATCAACAGATGCTACAATCTGATTGGTGACTAAACATCTAAAAGTACGTGACCTGACATGAATGGAAATGAAAAACTTAATAGGTTCATTTTCTTCCTAGCTGCTTACAGTAAGTCAAAACTTTTTAAAAAATTGTTATTTACATTTTATAAGTGTAGCAATAGCATTGACATCACCACTCCTTTAAACACACTCTCCAACAATCAATTCAATATCCATATAAACATTTGGACTTCTGGCAGACTATCACCAAAATGAATGGATTAAAACACTATATACTCTGTAGCTATAATATATTATATAAATATATATATATATATAATATATATATATATATATATATATATATATATATATATATATATATATACACACACATATATACATATATATGTATAAATATATAAATAAATATGTATATATGTATATATGTATATATATATATATATATATATATATATATATATATATATATATATATATATATATATATATATACATATATATATATATATAATCATATATATTATATAAATAAATATATATATGCATTATTTTTTCATACATACAAAAATACACACAAACATACATACATATATAAGGCTACATGGCTGGAAAACTTGGGTCTACATAAAGGAAGTAGTGAACTAATTCTGGATAGACAGAAATAATAGCAAAAGGAAAGAAAATTACAAAGGGGAGTATAAGATAAGCCATGCTAGCAATATACAGAAATACATTCTGTAAATCTTGTTGGGAATGTTTACACTTTTTTCTAATTGATGATCAAGATTACACTCTCAGCAAACAATACTTTTTCAGAATTTAACCATCACATATATCTGCAGTCCGGATATATATATATATATATATATATATATATATATATATATATATATATATATATATATATATATATATATATATATATATATATATATAATATATATTTATTTTTTTTTTTTTTTTTTTTTTTTTTGGGGGGGGGGGGGTCTATGCTATTCTATAATATGCAATTAATAGCAAGAAAATAATGGATAAAAATATTGCAATCATCAATACTATGAAGATCAAGAGATATGGATATAAAAGAATCTATCAAGTTATACCAATCATGTGCGATTCAACATAAGCAATCATCAACCTTGTCCAAAATTAAAAGCTCAGGAGCAGAAGTGCAAATGTACTAAAACCAAATGCTTCATTATTTTCCAATTCCTTTTGCGTTGCCTTATTTACAATTTCACTTACTGGTTTACTGTGACAGTGTGAACATGCACTTGCCCTTCCCAATGCTTCAATTTTTTCAGAAAAATGGTTCATATTCAAAAGATGTAAGTAATCAAAAGATCTCCAACTTCAAGAGTACACAAAGTTTTGATCTCTGTAAATATACTCAGTCCTATATTACAATGTCTACATCCAACCTTCTATCATAATGTTCTAAGTTTATTAACTTACATCAGTTGATACTTTCAAACGATGACTTAGAGGTAAGGAATAACCCTGTTAATAATTCCAGTGTCTACTACTAGATTTACTCACAGCATTACCTTACAAAATAAGGAAGTATTAATACTTACACCTTTCTTTTTATTTTCTTTTTTCCTGTCTCTTCGTGACCTTGCTACCTCAAACTCATGGCATTCTTCCACATGTCTAATTCCATTACGACGATATCTGTAAACAGATCATTGCTGTGACAGAATTCACATTTATGAAAAAATCATCTTTTGTTCATGGTGCAACCTAACATGTCTCACCTACTCAATTCCTTTCATCATGAGAAACTACCGGTATAATTCTACATATGCACCACAAACTTTGAGCACCAAGATTATAAATGAAACTTTTAATGACCAGACATTGGTTAATCAAAGAGGTAGATCATGAAATCTACTTGTAAGCATTCACATAAGACCTCTGAACAATATCTCCTAGCTCTTACCTTAGTAATTCTCTTATCCTTGTTCTTAACTCTCTCTCTCTGACAATGGAGTTTATAAGATTATTGTGTTCACTTGCTGTTTGAAACTGGCTAATTGTTCTAAGTTTTTCAGCAACTGCCTCTCTGAAAAGATAAGAAACAAGTAAAATATTATCCACTGCCTCTATTTTAGAATTAATGTAACTAAAGAATACCAATGAGTATACTTTCCAGAATAAAATAGACTACACAAAAAAAGAAAGAAAGAAGTCTAACTCTAATAATGACTGCAATAAGTTTAAATATAACAAAATGTTTCTATTAATTCTTACTCCTAAACAGGTTATTCTCATACTTAATTGCTTCTTTTTCTTTAGTATTGTTAACTTTCTATATCTCTTCTCTAGCCCTTTACTCAGGCTTTACCCAAATAGGTTTTCCAAGCATAATTTTCCACTCCCTAAAAACTAGCATCTCAACCCATTGGATCCAGGTGTCTCACTGCTCACAACTGGCCCAAAATCTGGGCATTAGGCTTATATGAACAGCAACATGCCCTGGTGTGTCACTTGTCAGCATGACCCTCATGAACACTTGCCTCTCTTTCCATGTTACTGTCTCTTTCTGTGTAAACATTTTTGTTTTTTTGCCAAGGTCTATATTTGCTTTTAATATACTGTATTAAGATGGTAATAGACATTTTTCCTTGCACAGACTCCTTATCATATCTCTAGGTAGTCATAAACTCTGTTCAATTACAAGTAAAATTTGGTTAATTATGGATTTTTTAAAAATATTTTCCTACTGTTCAACTATCTGTAACACACCATGCACCACAAGCCACAGCAGGCAAGAACTAGATCCTATGCCTCTCCCTAAACACCCAATGAATCTAATCTTCCTCCAATTTTGGGCACATTCCTGTCACCCTGGCCTTCAGTTAAATTTTTCACAAGGGCACATTCCCATCCCCCAGCCATTAGCCAAATTTTTTAATGAAGGTTTAATCCCATCACACAGCCCTCAGTCAAATTCTTTCTTGACATGAGGCATGTCACCTAGAACCAAAGGGGGAAGGTATCTGGTACAGTATGAGAAACTTCCAGACATACCAAATGGTACAGTATGAGAAACTTCCAGACATACCAAAAAGACAATCTAGTTGCAAAATTTACATACATATACATACTTTGCCAAACTTCTTTTCAGATCCTAGTCTATTCAAATTCTTTTCAACCCATTACCACCGGTATATTTTGAAGCCGAAAATAAAAGATTTCGGGCAGCTACAAAATCAGCGAGCGGGGCTGGCCCGGACTCTGCCCGTGCACCAGCCACGGATGCGCTGATCAAGCGTCACACTGGCGGGACGCCCAGCAATGTTCATTTTTTCGGGTGTCTCATATATGGGACACCGTTGTTACTGGGTTAACACTACACAGTAGCTACAATCAAACCCAAACCCTACAAGTTGACGCAATCCTTACTTATCATCTTTGCTTTTCTTTTTTGGAGGAACTTGGGCTTTTTCTCTTTCCTTCTTGAAAAATTGTGGAACAACCTGGAAGTCTCTAACTACCCGTTTTCTTCTCGATCTTTCACGAAGACGGCGCATGTACATATCAACCTGAAATAGAGGACATTTAAATAAAAAATAAATATATAAGAAAAAGATGGCCATTTGATCTCCCTGGTTTCAAGTTTGATCAATGTTTTAATCAAATAAACTGTCAAACAAAATCATCTCAACATCTGCATTTATCTCTACTGATTAACCTTCAATCACTACAATTTACACATCTGTTCTTTCATTTGATAATACTTACCTGTGCAAGTTTGAGAGCCATATCCACATCTTCATCATCAACTGGATGAATGAATAATGGTGCTATCGTTGTTTCTGCATCATTATCCCATTCCTATGTGCAAATAATAATAAATATATAATTACAATTTTCTCAAATTTTCACACAATGTTGCTAAATGCAACATAAATAAATATAATAGGATACTATGGCACAGTTAAATGGTATAAAACCTAATCTAGAAAATATACAAACTAAAACAACAAAATTACAAAAATGCAATATATATACCATCTTATAAGTTTTTAAAACTTTTCAAAGAAGTCTTAATACTGGATCTAAAACTTTTTAACATTTCACTTGTTAACTCAATGAAATATATCAACCAATTTTTATACAAGTAAATGTACAAAAAATCAATGCACAAATACCCGAGTTCCACTCAAAAACCCTAAACAATCAAGCTCACCCTCTCAAAATCATCTCTGTGTGGCATGTATCCAAGTATGGTGTTCTCCTCGGTGGAGGGTGGCTGGGAGGGTAGTGAAGACCCTAGAGTTGGCGAGAGTGGTCCTGTGTCAGGGACTGTGTGCTCAATGGGGAGCTGCAATCTTTCTAATGCTGGTTTCCAGGAGGCTCGCCCAATAGCGCCATCTATGTAACTGCTGATGTACTTATTTCTTGCTTCTGTTGGTTTCCAGAAAAGATTAAGTGAATCATGCAATATCTTGCACCCACTTAACAACAGAGGTCTTTTCTTTTTCTTTCAATAATCTGAAATTTTGGCATGAGGTCCCATTTCTTGTTTCAATCAATGCTTTCAATATTTGTAAGTGATCATTCTAACAAGAAATGTTAATGTTCTAATTCACCAAAATACAAAAAAATATAATAAAACTAAATATGTCAAAACTGCTATATCCATTTGTATATTCAACTATCTATGAACCCAATGCACCAAGAAAAAGAACATTGCACACGTATAGAAATAAATAGCAATAGCTAATTAATAATTCAATTCATTAAAAAAAAAACATAAAAGGTGATATCTCCCTCATAAAAGGTAAATCATAGACTTACTTTTGTTATGACCAAGACTATCTATACCATAATGACTTGAATAGTTAATTTTGCACCACATACTCTCCACAATATAATATTAGATGACATATCATTCACTTACTCAATATTTTCATTTGTAAATATATCACTCTACTTGTTATGAACTGCAAAAAGATTATATAACAAATAAAAATAACAAGCCTCTTGAACCTCACTAACAATAAAAAAAATTGAATATATTAACAATTTCTCAAAAGGTTAATTACTTCTTAAAGAATCTGCACTTTATCATGAAAATAATTTACTAAATATCTTCCTCATAAAACAATGATTTTGTTAATTTCATAAGACAAATTTAGCCTTCAATGCTTGTCAACATCAATCTCACCTGACGACCTGTTGTGACTTTAGCTATAAAGATAAAAATGAAAAGAGAAGTAAACTAAAGAAAAAAAATCCTACTGACATAACACAACACTTTCAATGGCAGTGTTTACTCACCACCTTGTGAACCCTAGATCAATGTAAAAATTATACAAACGTACCATCTGGAGTGCGAGTCTCGATATGGCGCGCAATGTCCTCCCAGTTACCGTACCCATACTGCTCAATGGCGTCCAGCAATCTGACCTCCTCTCTAGCAGTCCAATGGCCTTGACCGGGGAAAATGCTAAAGTTTCCTGTGTCCTGGAAAACACCGGCCTGTGAGAGAGCGGGCCCAAGAAAAGACAGTGACCCGTTAGTGAGGGGGGTGGCGGTAAGCAGAGTGCAGCGGCGGGGGCACCTGTCTTCATTGACAATATACGGTCGCCAACAAGTCTTGCTTGCTTCCTGCACCATCATCATAACCCTTAGGACCAAATGTGTTACAGTAAGAATCCTGCGTCTCCACTAAGCAGAGAAGTTTAGCTTGTGAAAGAGGAGTCGTGGTTAATAATGCTTTACTTCTATGAATTTACATAAGCAAACCTTAAACAGATCTTGATTTATATTAAAGTTTACTTTCACCCTCCTTCCTTCTTTTGATTAATCATTTAATTTCCATCACTTCATGAACAGATTTCATTTCATTTTCCTTTTGGAAATCCAAAAACTACAAATTTCTTCATTAATAAATATACTATGCAGTTATGAACTTATATTGAAGTCCAGTAACGGTCTTTAACTAACTTCAAATTTCCAACACACACACACACATATATATATGAAGAACTGGGAAGTAACAGCAATATTGTTTACTTTAACTGTCCTCCACTTCTTCATATCTACATTGGACAATACTAATAACGGTATCCTTAGGAAAACTACTGATAGGGCTTTTATAGGTACTTGCCATAAGACTACTATTACATCTTTTTTTCTAGCATTACTAATGGTGTCACTATTGTGAGGGAACAGTACCATGAATAGAACTATCAGCCTCTTTGGAGCCTTTTTCAAAATAGTTGTAGTAATTTGTATTTTTTGGGATACTTATTCACAAGAGTACCAACAGTAATTTCTAACTTTGTGTGCACCTGCATAAGCTTTAGAGCTAAAATCCTAAAAACTGACTCATTCTTTCCGAATAACAGAATCAAAATGAGATCTTCAACTCTGAAGAATCATAAGAATATATATAATATGTAACAACAAAATGCATATAAAAATAACAATCTCAACTCTTAGTAATTTGTTAGAAAGTTTCACAAAGTTAAATTTTCAATTAATTTTCAAATTAACTTTTATTCACCAAACAAAGAATAGTAAACCGGTTAAAAGACTACAAAACGCTGTTCATGATGTAACACATTCTGGTTCCCTTTTATCAAGTCTGTTAGCATTCTCATATACAGCAAAATATGCTGCCAATGAGTATGTCAACAAAGCTGATCTTTGGTTATAAAAATTCTCGTTCTCATTGTTGCACATTAAGTATCACATCAATTCTATCAGATTATTCAATTTTCAAGAATTTCTGTTTTTTCAGCTAGTAAAAGACAAAATGAAAAGATCTTATAGTGCGTAAAATGAAAAGATCTTATAGTGCATATCTCATGTGATACTACTATATTATCCAATTTTTATTTGAGCAATGACTGTCTGATCTTCTTGTTTTATCTGCAAATGTCAATTTTGTTTCCTTATTAAGTTTCAAACATAAAAAGGAAAAGAACTGGGAGGTATAATACGCATAATCATAAGGTACTACAAAGCTTCTATGTAAAAATTTTGCTCAGAAAGTGGGGCCCAAGCCATGTAAATACTATAGAAGATATTGAAATTTTCAACAAAGAAAATCATTTAGTTGTGAAAAATAGCAAAATCTTCAGCAAGACACTGTTATGCACTTAAAAAGAGGGAACTGCATGAGAAAATGCTGTGACCATAAAATATAAAGCATGCACTCTGCCACCAAGAATCACACCACGGGAAAATATGCAATTACAGAACTTTACAATTAGTGCAAGTCAGGACTTATATTCAGGAAATGGTAGCCACTGATAATCTCTACAATCCTCTTCATAATACAGGAGTCACTAATCTGTTAAGAGAGCTACAATTAACAATATAATTAAGAAAGCCATATATATGAGAATATTCAGTTATTCTTACCTATATGTAACCTGTCAAAAGGTTCTTAGTTCTATGCAGCAATTAGTAGCTTAAATATCATC